GTAGGGCATTAAATGAATATATTATGTTAAAATTGTTTTAATTGATTATATTTTCGGTTCTGTATAAGTTTTATAAAATGTACTACCGGTAGTACAAAGGCCTAAATCCAATCCATTAATAATAATATTAATAATTAGACATAAAATTGGGAATACGTATGATAATTTCGTGTGCGAATTTTCTCAGTTTTCTTTTTTTTAAAAAAAAATAATAAAATTGATAATGAAGAGTTTATTAACAAAATGACAAAGAAACCATTTTTGATAATCAGTATAGTTAAAAGTTGTTGTTCAGTAGTGAGAGGTTATTTTCGCCAATTTTGACTCGGTAGCTAAGGCAATGATTGATACTTGGTTTAATAGGTTAAATGATAACAGTAAGTAACATCAAGCTCAGTGGATTAAATAGCAGCATAAGAACCTTGCCAGTAGTAATTATGCCCTGCAGTTGCAGTAGTGTAGCAATGCAAAGACCTTTGTAAGATAACTTTGGGCTTCGCAGTTGCAAGAGTCCATTTGTTGAACTTAGAAACATCTTTATTACTTCATGAGTAACTACATAATCAATTCTCTTTGAAGCTACATGGATCTTTCCTTAACGACCTGTCCCCCGATTGCTTAGACATTATAGTTTGATCAGAGATTATAAGATAGCTTTGTTTAGACATAGTAGTTTCAATACGTTAAGAGTAGGTTTATAGCCAGTTAATTCGAATAGCATTGTTTGCTTTGGGATGTAATATTTCAGTGATAGTGAGCAGATTTCCATATGCTTTTCATTGTGTTGTAATAAAGTCATTTGTCATCTGATTGAGCAATAATCATTGCATTCTTGATAGATTGAATTTTTAATCCCCCGATTAGTGATACGAATCGAAACAAATATTGTAATCGATTAGTTGGTTGAAAAATTTTTAAAAAATCGATTACAAATTGATTATTGCTAACTAATTGATTAATCGATTAATCGATTAGTTGATTTGTTTAGTTGTTCTAATTTAATAATAATAACGAATATAAATCTAATAAAAATTTTTATCAAAAAACTAATTAAAGTAAAACCAACTAACTGATTAATCGATTAGTTGGTTAATCGATTAATAGTTGGATCAAAATCGATAATCGATTAGTTGCCAACTCAGCCAACTACCGATTAATCGATTCATATCACTACCCCCGATCACTATATCAAGATCACGGTAGGATTAATTAATAATACCCTGACCGTATGTGAATAAGCGGAAACTCCGTTTCCGCTAATTCCCAACGGATCAGGATATTATTATTACAAATTGAGATAGAGATTTGAGACACCAATAATGTATAGTACTGTCCGCTATTAATTGTAGCATTATCATTAAAATTTTCTTGGCATGCAGCATTTTCAACTTTCAGCAACCTTTATTAAAGAAAAAAAAACTACTGAAAGACAGTGTATCCAAAATTCGCAGGCTAGACCAATTTTAATGGAATATATCAAACTGAAATAGTTATTAATATTACTTAAGAACTGTAGTTAAAATGAACACCATATATCTCCGAATATAAGCAATCCTGAATTAAAACAACCTCCAGATTTTGAAACTGAAAATTTGGCAAAGGTAATGTTTGCTAGTAAAATTATTTCTGAATATAAGCAAACTCTTCATTTCGACTCGAAAAATTTGTAAAATTGCGGTTGCTTATATTTGAAGATATCCGTCAAGTATGAAAACTTTATATTTATATACGATCGATCTAAATCTTTAAAAGGAAAATTATTTTCCTGCATTTAAGCAAGTCTTGAGTAGTTAGTTAAGTTCTGTTCCTGGTTTTGCGCGATGGCGTCGCGCGGCTATCTAAAAAATTTACACCTAATATTTTGCTAAATTCGGCTGCAGCTGATTCAGTGACAGTTACACAATAAAAATGAATAGAAAAAATCCACTAATCCAAACAAATAACACCATTGTACGTATTGTACGTACGTACGTACGTACGTCCATACCAGATATGTAATCTTTATACGCAGCAGATTTAAATTTATTATAAAGTGGCGTGATTTCATCCTTAACGTTAACATTAACGTTTTTACAAGCTTTTTAAAACAAAAAACATGCAATTATACGGGCTCATTTTTATTGAAGGAGATTGTCCAAAGTCTGTTCCTTTGCAAAATGTTTCTGTTGAAGCGAACAGTAAAGTTTCTTTTTACAGATTTACAATTTACTGCATACAATATATTTTTCTTTTATATCACTAATGTTCTTTTAAATTTAATTAGTCGTTGATATGATAGCAGAAAGTAAATTAACTTACATATTTAAATATCATTATAGTTTTATCATTTTTAATGTAATTAATATCTGGCTCGTATAACCTAGCAATGGTTTGTCAGACATATAAAAATGTTGAAAAGGATGCGATTGAAGCCATTTATAAATTCCCACTTCATGAAGCTGCAGCAGTATGTGCATTTGAAGCTGAAATTGATGGAAAGAAAAAAGTTAAAGGAACAGTCAAAGAAGCAAAACAGGCAGCGCAGGAATATGATGCGGCTATTCAGGTACAGTAACATGAAATTTACTATATATAAATAAATAATCGTACATAAGTATGTACATAGTTTACTTACACATAATATTTACATAATGTTTGTTTATAGCAAGGTCATGGAGCTTATCTCCTCGAAAAACAACAATCGGATATTTTCCAATGCTCCGTTGGCAATATCACTGCTGGTCAAACGATTGTTATTAAAATCACATACGTAACCGAACTAAAACATGATGCTGAATCTGAAAAAGTTCGATTTGTTTTTCCTACTGCCATTGCTCCACGATACGGTTCATCTGGTTATTCTCCCGCAAATGATGGGAAAAAACTTATTCCTGATGAAGTATCTTATTCAGGAAAGACTGACTATTATTTAGATCTTAATATAACATGTAGAATGACTTCTGTAATTCAAAGCATTGAATCACCATCTCATCATATTTCAACTGAATTAAATATTGATGGTAATCCGAATGTTTCAAAAATTACTTTAGCCGAGCATATTACTTATTTAGAAAAAGATTTTATACTTGTAATTAAAAGTCTTGGTCTTGACCAGCCAAGGTAATTAATGATCCTTTTAATGATACTTTCAATCCAATATTATTTATTTATCAATTACTGTAATTTTTTAGGGCCTTCATTGAATATGACCCTAAGACAGAAACTAATTGCGTTATGCTAACTTTAGTACCAAAGTTTGCTATTAATGAAATAAT